TACCTAACCTTATTATAACAAGAACAATTTATTTTAGCCTAACCCAACTAAATATATTTTAGATTTGTTTACAATAATTTAATACTAAACAAACACAGTGAAATATGTTTTTTTTCGTTACGTTCAGAATGATTTTGGCGAAATTATTGCATACACAAATTTTCGCTTGTCCTATATGGCAGGATGAGCGTTGCTATTCAAGCCAAGTTCGTAAGTTCTGCCTATTCGGCACGACTATATATATATATATATATATATATATATATAATATATATATATATATATATATATATATATATATAATATATATATATATATATATATATATATATATATATTCTAAAATGGTGGAGAATATAATTGGAAGGAAAGTGGAGTATTTCCTAGAAAGTAACGGATTCATAATCGACAACCAAAATGGTTATAATAATTTTTAAAGGGGTGGAGGGATAAGCCGGGGTAAGGCCTCAATCATATGACCAAAAGTTCCAGCTGTGGGTCATCATATGACTAAAACCTGCGTCAGGAAACACTTGTCATGTTTCCTGAAAAACATTACGTAACCAAGGCAGGTTCAGGGATGGAGAACGTTGTCTCATTCACCTACTGGAACTAAATTATAGGGTAACGCAGGAAAGATAGAGATAGAGTGCATTTTTCTGGACTCAAGAAAGCATTTAACACCGTACCACAGCCGAAGTTGAAGAAACAGGCAACTGCACTATACTTGATCAACATTATCAGAGTGATAAACAGAAGTAATGTTCGGAGAGAAGTGTCTGGATGGACGAGTGACGGACTGGGGCTTCACAACATTACCATTACAACCCCTGACGGACGGGGGCCCCACAAATTTACCATTACAACCCCTGACGGAGGGGCTCCCCAACATTACCTTTACAACCCTTTTTTTTCCCTGTAAACTTAAAAAAAAAAGCATCCCAGATGTAATTAAGTCAAATGTGTAGTTGAAGATTAAACAGAGATCCTTAGTCATATTCAAACGGGATAACACGGTTATTTTTTTTTTTTGAAGGGAAGAGAAAAGGTAACAGAAAATTGCATTTATGATCAAAGGGGAAAAAGGAAAGATCAAGGATAAATAAAACCCAAAAAGGAAAAAAACTGGGGGCCAAAAACGGGAATAAGACGAGGATAAGGCACACGATCATTTCCCCAAGTGTGACATAAACCCAAAGTAATATTCCTTGAGCTTTGTTTGACCCTACAGGTTTAGCGCGTCTCTATAAAACATAACAGAAATAGTAACTAAGCAAAACAACAAAAAAAAAGCGCATAGCAAAAAAAATACATTGCAAAAACAGCGGCAGATAACAAAAATAGCAGCAAGAAAACAACACGGAGCAAACAACAACAATACAGCAACAAAAACACGGCAGCAAGCAAAAAAGAATAGTAGCATAGCACAGCATAACATGGCAAAAACAGTAGCACATTGCAAAAACACGGCGCATAAAAACAATAGCAGCATAGCGCAGATAGAAGCATGCAACAACAGTACTGCATACAACAACAGAGGAGCTAACAACAACAATACACAACAACAGCAGAAAAAAGCAGGGGCAACAACATACTGCATCACAAAACAAAGCAGCAAACAAAAACGTACGCACAGCAACAACAGGGCCATAGCAAAAAACAGTACAGATAGCAACAACATTTGCAGCATATCAACAAAAGGGGTTAGCAAGCAACAAAAGTGGCAGAAAGCAAAAACAGTGGCGCTAGCAAAAACAATGCACATGAACAACATGGCAGATAGCAAAAAAAGTGGAGCAAGCAACAACAGTAGCAGCATAGCAAAAACAGTCAGCATAGCAAAAACGTAGCACATAGCAACAACTAGCACTGCAACAACAGTAGAAGCAAACAACAGTAGCAGCTTAGCAACAACAGTGGCAGATAGAAACAAAAGTGGCAGCATAAAACAACTAGCAGCATAGTAACGCAGAAGGGCATGGCAAAACAGTAGCAGCATAACAAAAATAGCAGCAAAACAACAATAGCAGCAAAACAACAACAATAGCAGCATACCAGCCATAACTTTGCAATAACAGTACACATAAAAACATACGCATAGAACAACTAGAGCATAGCAAACATGGCAGCATAGCAACAACAGTGGCACAAGCAACAAACGAGCAAATAAAACAAAAGTGGCAGCATACCCCACAACAGTAGCAGCAAGAAAAAGCAAAGGAGCTTACAACAACGTAGCAGCATAAAACAATACAGCATACCAGCGCAAAAAGCATTGAAATAACAGTACAGATAACAAAAGCAGCATAGCAACAACGGGCAGCATAGCAACAACAGTAGAGCATAGCAAAAACAGTGGCAGATAGCAACAACAGGGCACATAGCAAAAACAGGGGCAGCATAGCACAACGTGCAGCATATAAACAGAATGGCAGCATACCACAACATACGCAAGTAACAGCAGAAGGAGCAGGTAACAACTACACAAACAACAATAGCAGCATCCAAAACAGCATAAGCATTGCAACAACAGTAGCGCATACCAAAACAGCTCAGCATAAAATAATAGCAGCAACCAGCAACAGAAAAAAGCATGGCAACAACAGTACAGTATAGCAACAACAGTACACATAGCAACAACATTACATATTTCATTAAAAAGGGGGGGGTAAATATTTTTTTAATGGGTTTGAAAGGACCTGCTAGTAGGGGCCCAAATAGCCTGCAGCGGTTTTTTCCTTTTTTTATTTTTTTATAGCAAAAACGATAGCAACATAGTAAAAATGTAACAAATAGCAAAAGTAGCAGTGCTGAACCCCAAGTAAAAGCAACGTATTTTGAAAACCACAACAACAGCAACGTGTATGTAACAGCATCACAAGAACAACAGGGTGAACAGATCAAGAGAACAATATAGTTAACAGCACATCGGAAAAACAGTACAAAATTTAAAAGCAACATAAAGAACAAAAGTAGCCTTTAAAATTAATCCTTTCAAAAATTTTTTTTTATTTAAAGAATTTTTTCATGTTATTTTTATGTAAAAAATTAATAATTTTATACCAAAGAACCTTAGAAAAATTTCTGCCTTAAACAAGCACAGTTTATTTTGCCTAATCAACTAAATATTTTAGTAAGTTTTTCAAAAATTTTTAAAATAAACAAAGACTGAAATATATTTTTTTTGTTAGGGTTTAAGATGATTTTTGGGGAATTATTGCTGACAAATTCATACACAAATTTTGGGAAAAAGCGTTGCAGTTTAAGTCAAAATCGCAAGTTTGACCTTATGGGACGCCATATTTAATTTAAAAATATATTATATATATATATATATAATATATTTTATATAATATATATATATATATATATAAATATATATATAAATATATATATATATATATGTTGCCGCTATATTTTGGGCACGCGCCCCCCGCTCTGAGAACTGGATGAGATTTTTTTCATTGTAATTTTGACAAACACTACATATTACTAGACATGTATCTCTCACACCCTCATGTACGTATAATCAATTTTATGTCAACAATGTATCACTTAAATATTTTGTACCGTAAATCATACCAAGGGTGGGGTTTGAACCCGCGGTCAGAGAGTCTTAAAACTCCAGACCATCGTGTTAGCCACTGGGTCTGGAGTTTTGAGACTCTCTGACAGCGGGTTCAAACCCCACCTATGGTATGGTTTGTTTGCAATCGTGTCATTACGATTTCGTGAGTCTTTTGTCCCATATTATGTAATAAAAATATTCCTATTGGTGTATATATATATATATAAAATATATATATATATATATATATATATATATATATATATATAATATATATATATATATATATATATATATATATATATATATATATATATAATGTGTGTGTGTGTACACGGGGCCAGGAGCTGTGATCAACCCCTGTAACCGCGATTAGGTGAGTACACACACGCGCACGCACGGACGCAGAGTTGTGACTCAACCCCTGCAACCACAGCTAGGTAAGTACACCCACATAATGAGGAGCCAGACTACTGGTCTACTCTCATGAGTCTCACCACAAACTGGTTTAATTAAACAGCGGTGATCATAGAAGTTCTGTATTTCTAACTAGACTGTGATTACTCTCACAGTTATTTATCTGTGTTATTCAGGTGCACAATGATAGGCAGTTCCCTACTCTATTCTTCATGTAACTCCATGTAACAATGGCATGAATACATCGCTGACGGTCCCCAACCTTTTAGTATGAAAGGGCCAATTTGAAAAGCCAAATTTAAATGAGGGCCGCCATAATGTGTTGGTGCAAAACGACTTTAAATATTTTGTAATTGTTGACACTATGCAGTGTGGAACCTATATAAAATTGAATTCATAATTTCGTGTGAGGGCCGCATCCATTTCCTAGAAGGGCCGTTTCCATTTCCTAGAAGAGCCACATGCGGCCCTCGGGCCGCATGTTGGGGACCCCTGGTTTGGAAGATAAGGAGTGATGATGCTAGAATCACTGCAGTAGACGTTCTCCAGTCTGTTAGGCAACAAAAAGTTATGGAATCCAGAACTAATGTGTAAAATATAACTTGATATGAAGTGAATGTGAATGTCTCTCATTACCCTAGACCAATGTCCCCCAGAGTGGTCAGTATCGACCCCTAAAGGTCGATGGGACTATCCAGGGGGTTGATAAATGGCTGGGGATCAAGAGGGTCAATACATGATTGAAACTGGTTTTAGCCATGCAAATACAATCCTATCTAAGCGGGGGGGGGGGAGATCGGGAAACAATCTGAAACTTTATGAAGGATCGATGAGCTGACAAAGCCTAGGGTCTAAGCGATGTATGAAAACGGGTTTAGCGCTTCTCCCATACATACAAAAATAATAATATTAACTTAGTAAATAAGAATAAAATAATAGAGAAATAATATTTTTTTATTACTATTACTGGATGTACAGTGTACATGTAGTATATCCTCGGATGACCTAGACTTACCTGGTTTTAGTTGAATTGTGTTAGTCAACGAGGCTGTTGCTTCCAGTACTAGGCTTAAATCCTGGTCACACTTGGGTTAATTCTTGTATTTTCTCTAATATCTCCACAGCAATAATATTAATAGTCGTTGCATCTCACATATACAAAACTGGCACGAGGTTTTAAGTTGTAATGGCGGTGGGAATTTTTTTTTTTTTTTTTTAAATAGGAAGCAGGTTTGTGTGATGAGTGAATTTAAACTTCGTTTAGTGGAAGAAACCTGAGTATGCGACTCTGAGAGTGGAGATTGCTGCTTAATGAGTGTAGATTTGTGTATATCGTAAGTTGTGTGAATACAGTTGTGGATGTTTTGTTTTGGGAGAGTGAAGATGGATGGGAATGTAAAGTTTGTTAGTATTACTGGCCAGTGGGAGCACTCAGCGTAGTGAATGACAGTGTAGGACTGACGAGGAGATGGTGATGGTAGTGTTGGAAGGATCTCAACCCTCCACAGCTTTCACCAACACCCTCCCCCCTCTCTCCATTCCTCTCTCCACCACCACACCCCCCTCTCTCCCTTCATTCCTCTCTCCACCACCACAACCCCGTCACCAGCACCCCTCCTCTCTCCATTCCTCTCTCCACCGCCACACCCCCTCCTCTTCATTTCTCTCTCCACCACAACACCCCCTCACCAGCACCCCCTCACCATCACCCCCTCTCTCCATTCCTCTCTCCACCACCACACCCCCTCCCCATCATTCCTCTCTCCACCACCACACCCCCTCCCCATCATTCCTCTCTCCACCTCCACAACCCACCCCCTCCTTCACTCCCTCCATCACCACCACAACTCCCTCCAACACCACCACTCCCTCCATCCACCACCACTCCTTCACCTTCTTCAGGCACCACCAATCTTACCTACATAGATTCTTTGTGTCGCTCGTAAAAGCTGCAAGTTTCATTACGATTTTGTCGGTTTTATATAGTTGAGGATATATATTGGTTATGTATATGAGTTATATTATTGATCAAAGTGGTGTATGAGTTATATTATTGATCAGTGGTGTATGAGTTATATTATTGATCAAAGTGGTGTATGAGTTATATTATTGATCAGTGGTAGAGTTTCTATGATCATGGTTAGGTTATATTATAATCAAGTTGGTATGGTTAATTATTAATCAAGTGCTGTATGAGTTATATTATTGAATCAGAAGGCTGTATGATTTATTACTTAATCAGATGCTGTAGAGTTATATTATTAATCAGAGTGCTGTCATGAGGTTTATATTAATCAAGTGCTGTAGAGTTATATCTATTAATCAGAGTGCTGTATGGTTATTTATTATCCGATGCGATATGAGTTAATATTATTAATCGAGTGCTGTATGAGTTAATAATCAGAGTGCTGTAGAGTATTTATTAAAGAGTGCGTATGAGTATATTATTAATCTAGAGTGCTGTATGAGTTATATATTAATCAGGGTGCTGTATGAGTTATATAATAATCAGAGCTGAGGAGTTATAATTATTAATCGTGTGTGTACGAATATATTAATCAAAGTGCATGTAGAGTTATATATAATAGATGCTGTATGTTTATATTATTATCAGAGGGTGTACGGTTATTATATATCTCAGAGTGCTGTATGAGTTTATTATTATTAGTCAGAGGCTGTATGAGTTATATATTAAATCAAGTGGTGTACGAGTTATATTTAATCAGAGTTCTGTATGGTTATAATATTAATCCAAGTGCTGTATGAGTTATATTATTAATAGAGTGCTGTATGAGTCTACATATATATAAAATGCTGTATGGTTTTATTTTAATCAGAGTCCGTTGGAATTATTATCAATGTGCTGTATGAGTTTATTATTAATCAAGTGCTGTATGAGTTTGATTATATGAGTGCTGTATGGTTAACTTAGTTATAGAGTGGTGAAACGAGTTATTATACAGAGTGCTGTATGAGTAGTATTAATCAGGTGCTTAATGAGTGTAATATTATCAGAGTGCTGTATGAGTCGTAATTTTAATCAGAGTGCTGTATGAGTATTTATTTAGAGTGATGTGAGTTATGGGATATGTAATCAAGTGTGTTGAGTTATATATTATCAGGGCATGTTGAGTATATTAGTAATCAGAGTGCTGTATGAGTAATGTTTATCAGAGTGCCGTAGAGTTATATATATCAAGTGCTTAGGAGTTATATATTAATCAAGTGCTTTTGAGTTCCTCTTCATCAATCAGACTGCTCGTATGTTATTATTATCAGGTGCGTAGGTTACACTATTAATCAGAGGCTGTATAGTATTTATAATCAGAGTCGTATGAGTTTTATTAATCAAGTGCTGTATGAGTTTATTTATTAATCAACGTGCTGTATGAGTTATACCTTAATCAAGTGCTGTATAGTTATATTTTCAACAGACGCTGCTGTATGATTATATTATTAATCAAGGCTGTATGAGTTCTTATTAACAGAGTCCTGTATCGATTATTATTAATCAGATGCTTGTCTCATCACATATCCTAATCAGATGCTGTATGAGTTATATTATTAATCAATGCTGTATGGACCATATTATTAATCAAGATGTCTGTTGAGTTTATTATTAATCAAGTGCTGTATGAGTTTTATTATCAGATGCTGTAGAGTTTTATTATAATCAGATGTGTATGAGTTATATTATTAATCAAGTTTTTGTATGAGTTATATTATTATCAGAGTGCTGTATGAGTTATATTATTAATCAGGGCTGTATGAGTTTATATTATTATCAGAGTGTGTATGAGTTATATTATTATCAAGAGTGCTGTATGAGTTATATTATTAATCAGAGTGCTGTATGAGTTATATTATTAATCAGAGTGCTGTATGAGTTATATTATTAATCAGAGTGCTGTATGAGTTATATTATTAATCAGAGTGTGTATGAGTTATATTATTATCAAGTGCTGATTGAGTTTATTGTTAATCAGAGTGTGTATGAGTTATATTATAATCAAGTGGTTATGAGTTAATTATTATCAGATGCTGTATGAGTTACATTATTAATCAGGTGTGTATGAGTATATTATTATCAAGTGTGTATGAGTTATATTATTAATCAAGAGTGGTGTATGAGTTATATTATTATCAGGTGCGTGTATGAGTATATTATTGAATCAGAGTGCTGTATGAGTTATATTATTAATCAAGTGTGTATGAGTTATATTATTAATCAGAGTGCTGTATGAGTTATATTATTAATCAGAGTGCTGTATGAGTTATATTATTAATCAGAGTGCTGTATGAGTTATATTATTAATCAGAGTGGTGTATGAGTTATATTATTAATCAGAGTGCTGTATGAGTTATATTATTATCAGAGTGGTGTATGAGTTATATTTATCAGTGTGTTGATTTAAACAAAGGACAATACGTGATGGAAGTAATATAGTAGGTTATATTATTATCAGAGTGTGTATGAGTTATATATATTATCAGAGTGTGTATGAGTTATATTATTAATCAAGTGGTGTATGAGTTATATTATTGATCAAAGTGGTGTATGAGTTATATTATTGATCAGTGGTGTATGAGTTATATTATTGATCAGTGGTGTATGAGTTATATTATTGATCAAAGTGGTGTATGAGTTATATTATTAATCAGAGTGCTGTATGAGTTATATTATTAATCAGAGTGGTGTATGAGTTATATTATTAATCAGAGTGGTGTATGAGTTATATTATTAATCAGAGTGGTGTATGAGTTATATTATTAATCAGAGTGCTGTATGAGTTATATGAGTTATATTATTAATCAGAGTGCTGTATGAGTTATATTATTAATCAGAGTACTGTATGAGTTATATTATTAATCAGTGCTGTATGAGTTATATTATTAATCAGAGTGGTGTATGAGTTATATTATTAATCAGAGTGCTGTATGAGTTATATTATTAATCAGAGTGCTGTATGAGTTATATTATTAATCAGAGTGGTGTATGAGTTATATTATTATAACAGTGGTGTATGAGTTATATTATTAATCAGAGTGCGTAGATTATTTATTATCAGCTGTATGAGTTATATTATTAATCAGAGTGGTAAGAATTGCTTATTTTTGTTTTTCAATTTGCAGTATTTTCGTTATTTATTACATAAATCACCAGACAAAATTAAATGTTGTTTCGTGTCATTATTTCGTTGAATTTTGAATGAACAATTTTAATTGCAGTATAAATATTTTCTGTCATTTAGGAAAACGTTAAACATTATTTTGTAACGAGTTTTCAACGCTTATTGTTTATCGTGTGTAATTACGTTGTACAAAACTCCCAAGACTGGAAATTAATATCGGAAATTGTGTAAGATTAACATTTAATGTAACTTTCACGTTGTGACACGATGTTTTTATTTCACCCACTTCCTCCTTTCTCATTCCTCTCTCTCTCCCCGCGCTGTATGACCCTTGTGGGTTTAGCGCTTAGTTATGATTATAATTCTCTCTCTCTCTCTCTCTCTCTCTCTCTCTCTCTCTCTCTCTCTCTCTCTCTCTCTCTCTCTCTCTCTCTCTCTCTCTCTCTCTCTCTCTCTCTCTGTCGCTTCGTGCAAGAGATATTTTCAGCACATACATTATTTAGTCATATTGGCAGATTCTTTCGTTATTGTTGTGATCTTCACCAGTAAACTGCACACTAACTAGTAATGTAGATACAGCAGAGTGTTATTCTACAGGGACTCACATATATTGTACACCAGTGATGTTGCCCTCATTATGCAGCCATCACACATTATGATAACCAACCATAGCCAAGGATTATGAAGAAGCAAAAACTGGATATCTCCCCATAAAAGTTATTATCTACAAATAAAGTGGAACCTAAAATGAATTGTTATTATCGTTATTTTTTTTATTGATGAATGAAAACACTTGGGTATTTGTTGTACAAGTATCTCATTCATCACAAGTGTCTCATTCATCAACTTGTAGGTTTTCTGAACTATTTATCTACAATTATTATTATTATTCTTATTCTGTTCATCAGGAACACAGAAGTTCCTTCTCCTACCTAAATAAGTTTTTATAAAACCAATGAATTTTTGTGTTTTTTTATGTAGAAATGACAGTGAAAATAGGAAACATAACCTGAGCACATGAAAGCACTCAGGTTTAGTTCCTATTTTCACTGGTATTTTTACATATTTACAATCACGCGTTTTATTGTGATTTCTTCCATGTGTTTCTATAATGAAATCCTTAATAGGCCTTGTATTATATCCACACTGTAATGATAATAGCAGGATATCCCTACCATAAGTAGCGGGGCGTGTGGGTGTAGGAAAAAGGAGAGTTTCTTAGCCCTGACCTTGGTGACGAAGAATAGCCTCACCGCCTCCAAGGTCTTTGGCCAGCCAGCGGAGATTGTAGGACTTCCCTTCACCTCCACTCCTAAATTTGGGATCACTGACGCAGCATTAGTGT